ATATATATATATATATATATATATATATATATACAATATACATATATATTGCAGAAATAATGCAGATATGTAGTTATATATATATATATATACATATATATATATACCTATTGACGAGAAAAACTCAAAAATACAGCGACTAACATATAAATAATAAAAATAAATAAAAGGAAAATTAAAAGATATATATATAATTTAAAAATTACAAATAATGAAAAATGTGTTTTTTTATCAAACTACAATCATATCGAGTTTTCGCAAAGTATTTAAAGCAATAAAAGTGCTTCAATACTGTTTTAGATTTGAATTTATTTTTTCCTCACCCTTTCCATTGAGGAGTAGAGAACACACTAAGTGGAGCCTTAAGAAGTCTCTATCTTCCACGCTGCAATTGTTGGCGAAATCTTACAAGCTTACTTACTTAGTATCTGTCAGAACCTTACGCGCGTTACATTATGACTAATCCTATGAAAATCATTAAAGCTACTTACAAAAAACAATATTAATAAAACATTCAAGTTTATTAAAACAATCAGACTTAACCAGGCATTTAGTCTTTTTTTAAAGTGGAGCCGCGGTAATCTGGTTCCCCTTAATTTAATCGAAGAACTTACATCTTTCGAACAAATAAATTATAATAATAATGGAGGACACTATGCGTATGTATTGAGTTAATCTAACACTAAATTAATTGAGAACATTATAGTCGCGCAAGGCCGACTGTTAAATATCCTACACTACATTGTCTAATGCAATTCTTATTTTTAGTATAGAGCACAAATATATGTATATTGCTCTATGCAAAGGTAGATTTTTTATGTGCGTATTTATGGGAAAGCGGGCCCAAAATGCAACTTAATGTAATACAAGTTTAACCCTTACATAGCGCTAGATCCAAAAATAGGCGTAGATCTTTTTTTTTAGAGTACAAATTTCTATAAAATTACGGGCCAATTATGGGTCAATTTCCATTACCACTTGTCAAAACTTAGTACTTTTCTGCTCTACAAAGGATCAATTTTCGTAAAAATCTTTGTTAGGGTAAAATCTAAAAAATGGGCCGAGTTGGTTAATTTTATAGGTCGTACCAATTTAGAATGCCGAAAAACTACTACTTAGCCACTTTTACCGAGAAATTTAAAATTTTTTAATTTTTTCCATATAACGACTTTTCAGAGTAGGACATTGTATGGGGGATAGTCGAAAAAGTGAACCGATCTGAACCATTTTCTATAGTGCTCGTTCTTTGGTCAACACACGCGACTTTAGCAAATTTCATCAAAGCATCTCAAAAATTGCAATCTGTAGCTTGAACACACATTTTCACGGACATTCGGATAAACAGGCTTAGATCAATACAGATTACGATTCTAAATCGATCGGTATATTAAAAGGTGGGCCTTAAGCCCTTCGGCGTGTTACTTACGTTCGCACTGATTTAATATATTCTGCACCGCTAGTGGGATAGGCATAAAGAATTAAATAGTTATTCTTTTCAATTCTTGGTTTTAGGATACTTTTGGGTACTTTTTATCGACCTAATAGATGTACAAATAAATTCCAACTGATTCTTGATAAAATTCAATCGTATTTAAAATATATTTGTTACAAAACTTAATAATCGTAATAAGTACCATCGTTATCTATGCTCAGCTTGCTCACGGACGGCGTCGCGATAGAAATTTCTTAGTTCCGAGTTGAAACAATTATTCATTCATTTTTGCCCATTTTTAATTTTGCTGAGCTGCTAATCATTTATATACGCCTGAATCGATCTGAATCAAGGCTATTCAGAAGAAACCAGGTCTAAAAAGCATGGGGAGTGTGGTAAAACTTCCCAAGTTAAATTGAAAGTTATTTTCTGGCTTACTTTTGATAAAGACGGACAGACGTATACTAATTTTCATGGTCTTCAAGGCTAACATTTTTGCACAAAATGACTTAAATCGGCTTCTACCTGTCTTGTAACTTACTGCATTTTTAAATCAACCCACGTTATCCATATCCGCAGCTTCAGGCGCATTTTTTTCGGAAAAGCACAGAAAAGTTACATTCATCTCTTTAAACTTTGATATACACTTAATGACAACCTGTCCACACCCGTAGCTCACACCATTCAAATCTTAATATCTGACGTACCTATACCTCAAGTTTCGGGCAAATTGAACGCCTCAGATATGTTTTTTGAAGGAACTAATGTGTATATCGAATAATATAAACTATCTCTGAGATTTGGATTCTGTCCCTATCATCACGAAATATTTCATAAAGTACAGCACAAGAACTGTGTTCCCGCATTGCATTATGATTAATCAGACCAATAAGGGACACCCTTGGTAAAGCAGACAGTTCGCTAATAAAATTTGTGACACCAAACCAAACAAAAAACATTTTGACGAAATATCTTAAAAGAAAATGGTGTTTAAGAACAACGTTTATGGTGTGCTTCTGTGTTAAGGACGCTCCTCAGCCCATTCCCATATTACCGGAGATATCAAAGGTATTCGCTTTGTTTTAATAATAAGCGAAAAAGAAAACGTTTGCTATTCACGTTCACGGCCTGACCACATTCATTGAAAAGCGAGCGCGGCTCATGAACACTGCTAATGGGCGGATCAAATGATCAATTCCCTTTGACCATCGATCATGCGTGGAGAAAATTATCCGGTGTGAGCAATATGCTTTAGTAAAAAAGAAAAAACTGGATCTTTGATCTTTTTTCAGCGATTTTAAAAGACTTTCAAGACATTTTCTTCTTGTGTGTGTATTGAGTAATATTTTATCCTTAAATTTACGTAATGTTATGAGTATCCTTCTTTTACTTATTCAATTTGCACGAATTTACGAACAGTATAATTACTGTTACTTCAATAAACTATAGGCCACATCGAATTTTTTAAGCAGTCTTCCATAGTCGATTTTTTACAGAATGTATTAAATGTGGTATGCCTTAAAAAGCCCAAAATTTCACGCTCTTCATAAATACGATAAGTGAAGGTACTTTCGTAAGTTCCCACAAAAAAGCGGGCATACGAACACACCAACTGATCAATAATAGCAATTCCACCATCCTTAATAGAAGCTTTTTGCGCAATACTGTCCACAGTAAAACGAAGAACGTGCGTGCGTGATAAGTAAGATTTGAGATTTTTTATTTCAAAAGCGGTAGCATCAGTGGCCAAAAATACTGTATTAAGATTTAGCTGTTGTAGGTAATATTTGATTTGAAGAGCAGCGGACTTCAAGGTAGGTGTCGTAGATTCACGACCATACAAGAAATCAGCGCGTCTAAGATGCACGCCAAGATAAGGGCCTCCTATCGACTGATCATTATGAGAAGAGTGTTCGTATTCCCACATAGGAGGACGTTGCACGTTGTCCGTAATGTCGGTACTATTAAAATGCTGCAAACGAAACTGATTAACTATTTCGTTGAGTTTATAGGAAAAACGCATTGAACGCCTTGCTTGCCAAAATTGACGATCTGCCCATCGATCATGTAGGACAATTTCAGCATTTAAAATCGCTATTACTTTTGGTGTTTCATCTACATCCGCCCATTCATCTAAAACCGTTTGTAGAACACTACCCAAGAGATTTGCTCCTCCCTGATAATGCACACATCGAACATGTAATGGCCTTAAAAAAAGTGGCAATTCTTTTAAGTATGAGCCTTGCAGTAATTTCTCATTTCCTTGGCATTCTGGCGTAAATTCCCATTTATCGGTAAATACACCACTTTCAAACATATCTTTAAAATGCTGTAACTGCAATAATTTATGAATCGTAACGAAGGGTTTGCTTTCCAACTCGTATAAGGAGATTTCTCGAACGAATTCTGGAAAATCTAGAACAGCAACGAAACGCCTTAAACTTTCAATATCGAAAAAATCACTCCATGGCAAATGATCTTGTTGCAAATGATGGGATTTCCAATGATACAGGCGGCGCCATGGTGGTAAGACTAAACGTAAATTACGAAACCGTTCATTTTCCTTTTGAATATTCCTTACGAATACCGCTAAACGTATGTAAACATCACGACGTAAATTAAAACCTTCGGGCGGATTAACATCATACAATAAATAAATGACATTACGTTTGCATCTAATTTCCGTATCACAAAAGGGCAGTTTTGGATGTTTTATTAAATTTTGCAGCCACAATATTAGATTAGGACATTGTGCTACCTGACAATAGGCATTTATGATATAAATTTTTAAAAATAATACTAAAACACCCGCAAACAATTTAAAATGCATTACACTCTTGTTGATTAGGGTTAGGAAATAAACTACAAATAAATTATAGCTGAATATTTGTTTAGAAGGAACAGCTGATTTTTATTTACATTCGAATTGTGAGAGAATAATTTTGTTCCCTTGTCTTTTTGCCTTGGCAGCAGAAATAAATAATGTAACTTCTGTTTTTCTAATATAATGTTCCGATATTTCAAAACAAAGACTCAATAGTTATTTTAATGTGGTGAGTAATCAATAGGAATAAACCTTGATCGCTAGTTAACTGCCTCATCTGTCAGTGTTTAAAAGAAAAATACATTTGAGGAGTTTTGTCGCTAGAGATTTATACAAAATACATAAAGAATGCGTATATGCACATATACTAAAATATATAAGCAACTATTGTCTTTTTATTGGTTTTGAGTAATGATAAAAAATGGATACGTTGGAACAGTCCCTTACTATTTCTAACTTTTTCAGATGTGTTTTCGCGTACACATACTGTTTATACTGCCGACGAATAGATTTTTGCCATAGTGCCACATTCCAAATATTGCTCCTTTTTATTAAAATTTATTTTGATTACTGTTGAACACATTGGTTGATCAGTAGTTTAAGAAATGGTTCGATTACTGGATTATTACAAAAGCTAAGCAAAGATAACAAAAAATTATAACTAGTAACATCATATATTATATTTTGTATAAGGAAAACGATAAAAATAATTGTCGTTAATTTTATTAAAAGAAGGCAAAATACTCCCTGTTCCCCGATTCTGAACACTTTTTTATTACTAGTCATCTGTTGTCAATTTGCTAAACATTTAGAGAGAATAAGAAGAAGAGATGCACATCTCTATAATATTTGTAACAGCGGTTGTTGTTACAACATCTGTTGTTGTCGGTGCCGTCTCATGCATATTGTAAAACTCATTTTTTAGTTATTTTTGAGTAAATATTTTGGAAAAATTAAGAAAAATCATGTATTCTCGTTTAGTACAACAGTTTCGAAAATTGCAAAGGCTGCCAAATTTAAAACATCAAGCTAATGTCACTTCTTTCATGAAAAAAAGTTATGCAACCTTACAAGCAAACAATTTCAAGCATTGCCCGGCTTCTTTGATGTCTATGCGTAAAAGCTTTTATATACCAGTAAAATATAATGCGTCACAAATAGCAGCTCCTGAAACTAAGGAACGGAATAATTTTGGCAATATAACTTTAGAACAATGCTTAGGAAGATTGGAAGCGTTTCATCAATTAAATGGTTTTGTGACTAACGAACAACTATTACCATTAATTGAAAGCCTAAGCAGTGCAACGACGGCTCATTTAACAGCGGAACAAGGTAGCTTCCTGTTAAATATCTGTGGCTGCGAAACACTTTCTTTAAACCCAGAAGAACGTATGGACAATTTTCAACAAATTTGGCATTATTTGCAAAAACAGCAGTTAATCAGAAAAGATCATTATAAAATTAAGTTACGAGCGCTAAAATATAATCGTATGCCTTTAACAAATTATCAAGAGCAGTTGCAAGAATTCAAGGAAGTAGGCGGTGTTTCTAAAGAACTATTTTCGGATTTATTAGCCGTAGCAGGAGCCAATGGAAATGTTAAGCAATCCACAGAGCTGTTGAATGAAATGCGTAATTCAGAATTAGCATTGACCGAAAGCGATTTTAATTCTCTTATGTGGGCTTATGGTCGTTCCGGTGATATTCAAGGTTGTCAAACTGTGTTACAAAGTATGCAAGCAGCTGGTGTTTATCAAAGCAGTGAAACTCACTCCACATCTATAGCCATAAACATGGAAAATAATATGGAAGAAAGGGCCAAAATCCTGTTGAAACAATTTCAAGGGCAATTCAAGTCATTGGATATATTAAAAATGCTGCGTAGTATTATCTGGAGTCCGCAGATATCTCTGGAATTTATTAAGTTATTAGTTAAAGAGTTCGGGGAAGATTATTTGCGCGGCTTTGAAGTCCCTTTAGGCTTAAGATACATTTGTATAGAATTATTGCATCATAAGTAAGTAGAATTAGCGTATGTGACTTGATGAATTAGAAAGTTTTATATATTTACTTTTGTTCCAGAAAACTTGAATTTTTATCTGCTGTAATAGATACCTTACCACAACCAAATTTCCCCGAAAATCACGACCGTGATACTTTTGGATCATTTCTGTTTCATGCCATGTTTAGACAGAAGTGTTCAGTGACAGAAATCATTGATATCGCCTTGCAGTTGGAAGATAGTGAAAAAAATACTCGAGCTTTATATATAGCTGCCGAATTGGCTTTGCGTCGCAATCCTCCAATGGTGCTGCCAATATTTGACATGTTGATTAAACGTAATCATAGTTTAAGGCCTCATTACTTTTGGCCATTAATGATGTACAATTTTAGACGTTACAACGAAGCAGGCATAATACGAACTTTAAGTGTTATGCAGAATTATGGAGTTGAATGCGATCAACCGACATTAAAGCAATATGTTTTACCTAAGCTTTCGCTAACCTTAGAAAATCCTGAAGTGGCTTTAAAAAAATTTGAAAAAGCCGGTTTGAAAACTTCGCTTATATTAACACCGATAATCTCGCATTTGTTAACACAACATAAATGGCTTGATGTGGCCCCTCTTGTAGACAAATACACTACTAAAATTGATATGAATGAATTGATAGGTCCTCTATGTGGTGTAGCAGTGCATGTTAGAGCTACTAAAAAGTTTCATCAATTTGGAAAACTATTAGCATCTTTGACTGCCAAGAAAGGCGAGAGCAAGCAGGATTTCATAGGACAGATGTTAATTGAGCTTTTATATAGTCAACCACGGTTTAGCAGTGATTTGTACAGTTGTTATAAGCTTGTACATGAGATTCAAAAAGTCGGTTTGGGTATATCACCGGCGGCTGCTGATACTATCAAAGCTTTATTGACGGAAAATTTAACAGAAGACAGTAAAACGGAGCGTTTTCCTCTAGTAACGCAGAAGCTTAGAGAAATTAGTCGTAAAACACTGAGTTTAATAAGTGACGGCAGTCAAATGTCATCTTTCATTAAACATCCTCGAAATATGACGTTAAATGAAATGGAATGTCATTTGGTAGAACTGGAAGCCAAAGGAATGAACGCACGCGGTGTCTTAAGACGTATGCTGCAACTCTGTGTGCGCGATAATCGTTTAGAAAGAGCTTTAGAGATTAAACGGAAATGTGATAATCTGAAAGTACACTCCAGCCCCGGTATGTTAGCCAGTATTATGGAGATGCATGTCAAGCTAAAGGATTTAAACAGTGCTCAAGAATATCTCCGCAAATTGCAAGAAGAATATCCAGGTACATAGTAGACATTTAATTAAGATTCGTATATAAAAGTAACTAACATTATCTCAGGGTTCCTCATTGATGAACACAAATTCATCGATTATGCTGCTCTTTTGGTGCAGAACAATCAATTGGAATCCGCCAAAGAACTGTTAGAAAATAGATCCAAATATAATCGCATTATTGGGGGTGATTATGTGCTAAAAAATGTGTGGAATCTATTAACTAGTGTGGCGCATCAGGCAGCCCTTTCGAAAGATTTGCCACCTGAACGTAACCTGAGTCGTGAATTTCATGTTTTTCTCCAAAAATTAGGATATTGTCGTATCCATAATACTACATTGGGGCCACTGGTTAGAGAACGTTTATTAAGGGGCGATTTACCGGCAGCTGTAAAAGAATTTAAACAATTAGCTCAGCAATATAAATATACACCATTGCAGTTTGAGCTGCTGTCTTTACTGGTACGCTTAGGCAATGCAGATAGTACCCTGCAGACGCAGTACAAGTGTTCTAACGAATTGGCTCAACAACTTTTGGGTGAAGTCACTGAAATAATTACTGAAGTTCACGGCATAGTAAACATGAATAGCGGTCTTCTGTTAGCATTTGCTGAATCCGGCACCGATGCCCAATTAAGACGATTACTTATTAATCCAGAATTTCGTATTAACGAAGAATTATTGATACGCAATTGTGAATATTTGGGACAAGAAGGAGCTGTTCAAACGCTAACGCGATTAGCTCGTGGTGCGCGAGGCTTAAATCGTATTATCGATGAACACAATATCTACAAAATGCTATTAAATAATTTTGTTAAATCAAATGATTACTCAGCTGCGCTTAAACTCTATGAATGTTTGGAAACTGATGATGAATTGAAGATATCACAAGACTTTGTTCGAACCTTAGTTAATTTACTAAGAACGAATAATATCGAAATGCCAAGTAGTCTAGCTTTGAAGGCCCAAGTTATTTGAAATGGGATAGCAATTGTTGTGATATAGAGGACATGATACAAAATGTTAATTAATTATTAATTTTTGATATAAATGCAAATTTGAAAAAGAATAAATTAACAAAAAGAGAAACTGAGAATTAAGTTCGTTATGTGGTAAGACGGGGATACTCTTTTGTTCTTTTTCGAACGGTCTATATTCCAAAAGACATTTTCAACATTTATGTGCTTTGCAATCGAAATACAATATAGTTGAACAGCGGCATATATGATGTAAATCGAAGTATCTTGACCTTTCTCTCCATAAAATAAATGTTTTCCATTTAATATTATTGAGTTACTCAGTCTATGCAGACGCTAACCATGGAAAGCTCAGAATTGCATTTTCGACATGCATTACTTTCATCTGTTTTCGTTGCTTGTCAAACATAAAAAGAAGAGTTTCCTGTGGCGTATTGCGACTGGCAATGAAACGTGAATATAATCCCAAACGCAAAATACATGGGTTCGTTCAAAAGGATTAATAGCCATCAAGTTTTTCTGTGCATGTGGGGAGTGGAATTATGGGATTCCCTTGGAGGAACACAGATGTGCCGAAATCTTGACCTTTTCGTGGTGCTACCCAGAAACGGTGACTGTTGATTTTATGGGTCACATTTTTGAGAGTCGTACAGTCGCCGGCAAAGAAGGATTTAAGGTTTGCTCTCTATAACCTGGCAACGGGTTTTTCTCTTAAGAAGAGTCTCGGAAGAGAGAGCATTTTGTCTTCCCTCTTTTGGTTCTCTCTTGTGGGTGTTATCAAACCGTATGATGGCCAGCGATATTTAAGTGGGCTGGAGCATAGTTGGATGTGTGCTGTGCGATGACAACCGGGACATGTGGAGAGTCCGAAGGCAAGAGTGGCTGAGGCTGCGTACAGTCGGAAATCACCCAGAGCTGTATAGCATGGTGTAAGTCCTCTACGAACGATAAGCTATGAAGCTAATGGGTGTTTACGGGAGTAAGGATACCCACAAGTAGGACCACTCTTGGGAGGAAGATGCACTGTCCATCTGACTGCGGGGAAAATGCTTTCTTACCTGACCTGCCGTATCCGGCCTTCGGGGAGTATTCGTCGTGGCTGTGGTCACGCCGAAGTTTCGTGTTGCACTATCTAAGAGGTGTTTAGATAGCCCTCGCCCCAAACAAGTAAGCGAGAAAATGGCCCACATTCATGTTTTACTTCGGTATTTCAGGATAGTGAGTTCTCCTTCAATAGGGAATGTCCTACTCCTTGAAAGGTCCTCAATTGAATTCGGCAAATTGCCCCGTCTAATTAAGTTTTCATGCCAGATGTAAAAGTAAAGGCCTAAAGATATATGTGCATGTGGTAGGATTAGTAAGGTGTAATATATTACGAGCTTAATGAAAATGTTAATGCAGATGTCTATCAACGTGAATTGAACAAACTGAACGATGTGAGAAATACGGCATAACCTCCTTAACATCGTATGGCACGACAACGCTCGGCCACACGTTGCAAGTGTTGATATTGTTGTTGCGACTATTAATACTACTTCAGTCGATTCAGTCAAACACGATTTAAAATTTAGCGTACATATTAGTACAGTTAAGTCATTACGGGATTTTCGAAGAGATGCCGTTATTTTTGTGTACAAATATTTGTGAAATTATGACTCCTTTTCCATGTAAATCCTTCTGCTTTAAAGACATTTTTTGCAAAAATTTCTGGCAATTGTGAACTCCAGAATGATAGATAATACGCTTTGCATTCACTCTAGTAAGTTTAAAGCCTTATTCTTCAAATCCCCCCATCCTAGGTTATTGAAACTCAATATAAAAAAATATCTAAGTATTCCATTGCTCTTGTAGGTTCTATGCGATGCCTAATCGTAAACTCAATTTTGACCCCCACAACATCAATGTCTCAGCTAAGATGTGTCTTACGCCCCCCCCCCGTAAACGGTACAATCTATGTCCGCTTCTCAACGTTAAACATACCATTGCACATCTCCTGATTTTATCAGATATTAACTATTGTATTGAGGTTTTCTCTGAGTGCCAAAGGTGTAACTCGGAGTGGCGTATTGCAGTATTATTAACCGTATAAGAGATTTTGTTTACAGCGCCAAATTGAGAGACCATATCTCCTTCTAAAAATCTCCTTTCACGATTATCTAAAATTCAGGCTGCTTATCTACCTCTACAAAATCATTTAAATCATTTAAATCCACAAGGCTTTCAATTGAACGGCAGCAATTGCCTAGATCGAATAGGAACCTTTTCATATTAATCTCACGTCTTTAAGTGTTCACGTTGCTAAATGTTAGAGTGCCTTACCACTGAGTCTGAAATCCTTTGATAATTTGAATACATTTAGAAGAAAATTGACCGCACTGCTAAACTGTTTGGGATGGATGACTATGGTGCTCACGGAGCAAGATGTTCGCATTGGCATCGCGACTCGCTGCGGCTTGAACTAACACTCTACTTTAAGCCCTTGTGCGCGCTGTATCACAAACTGCGTAGGGTATAATAAGTCGATAATTTGATAATTTCTTCAATTAAGGTATGAGCACTGAGCCGTCAAAATCACGATAATTAAATTATGTCAATATTTGCAATATAGATATAAAAGCAGAATACATGAAAGAGAAAGAAAAGCTCAGATATGGCCGCAATTTCGTCCTATTCATGTCCACTTTCTTCGCAATGAAAAAGCTCCTCCCGCCTATCGCTAACGCGTAAATCGTAACCTGGAAATGTTTTTGCAAAGCACTCTGGAGATCCGACAATTCAATTGCATTCTTAACATTGGTTTCAGATTGATTTATGTTAATATAATAGCGACTGGTTCTTGGATAGATATTGGGCTGTAAATATCTCTTACGTATGTTTTCTTCCGTGATGGTTATAAAAAGTAAATAAATTTCAAAATTGTTTTCATTTCTCTTTTTTGTTTTTTTTTTTTGTTTTTTTTTT